TGGGATACGGGGATGGGGATACAGGGATGGGGATACAGGGATGGGGGATATGGGGATGGGGGATACGTGATAGGGGATATGGGGATGGGGGATACGGGGATGGGGGATACAGGGATGGGGGATATGAGGATGGGGGATACAGAGATATGGAGATGGGGGATATGGGAATGGGGGATGGAGGCTGCAGGGACAGAGCTGGAGGATGGGGGATCTGGGAATGGGAGATACAGGGATGGAGGACACAGTGGCGTTGCTCGGGCTGAAGCTTTCCTTCACCCTTGGGGAGATGCTGGGGCCACCGCCCCCCTCCCAGGACCCTGAGATCCCACTGTACCCCCATCCCCATGTCACCCAGGGGTGACAGCAGCGTGTGTTCCCTCACCCCTATCTCACTGCCTTCCTCCCCCCCCTCCCAGTCTCCCCCCTCATCCCCAGGGACTTTGGCCCAAGGTCACCCTGCAGCAATGTGCCCTGGGGGGGCCCCCAAGCGGTGCTGTCATCCCGCTGTGTGTCCCCACGGCAATGGGGTGGGGGACACTTTGTAAAAGGGGGTTGGGGGGGGGTGGAGGAGGGGATGTGGGACTCAGGGCTTCCATCGTCCCCCCAGCCCCAGGCAGGGTGGGGTTTAAAGTGGACCACTTTGAGTTGGGGAGGGGGGGGAGCAACGCAGAGAGGGCTCAGCAATGGGGGGGAGTCCTGTATTGGGGTGTCCCCATGGTGAGTATTTGGGTATCATCCCATAGGGGCACTAGGACAGAATGGGCCCTAAAATCCCCATTCCCACTTGGAGGGCTCAGATTTAGGGCACAGCCCCCCTTCCCCCCCCAAGCTATATCCTGGGGTATAGGGATGTCCCCATATTGTCCCTGTAGCATACACAGCTTTAAGGGCCCCTATGTTCCCCCGCAACCCTTGATCCCAACACAGCACTTAAAGGCAGAACCCACCCTAACAGCCCCATCCAATCCACCCCCCTCCCCTTAAACACCTGGGGAGGCCCTGCCCTCTTCCCAGCAGCCCCTGGACCCTGACCACACCTCCTCACCCCTATATAAACCCCATAGGGCACATGTGGGGGCAGTAGTAGGGTGGGTGCTTTGGGTGTTGTTGCTGGTGAGGGGTTCTGGGTGCTTCTAGAGTCCCTCCTCTGCCCCATGGAGCCACCTGAACGGACCTCAGGTAATGGGGGCTGAAGGGGGTGATGTTCTGTTGATGATTTTGGGGTTGCTGCTGTGGTTTTGGGGCTCCTTAGAGTTCTGGGGCTCCTATGGGTTTGAGAAGCAGTTTATATCCATGTTGCTTAGGGCTGATGGGGCTGAGTTAGGCTGAGCTCAGCGCCCTGTTGAGCAGTGAGGGGAGGGGGTGGGGGGGGTATGTGTTGGTTTCTGGGGTTTGGGGGGTTGGCAGTACTGTACTTTGTCCCTACAGGGGGGTTGTAATGCTTTAGGGGGGCTCTGGGGCACTCAATGATGTTCTGCCCATAGGTGGGGTTGAGGGAGGAAGGGAAAGGGGAGGGGGGGGAGGAGAGGGTGTTAATTGTTCCTACTTATTCTTCTGGCACAGGCCCCTAACCCTGCAGTGCCCCCCCTCCCCCAGCTCAGCCTTCCTTAATACTCCCTTACAGCAGGGGGGGCACCCATAATCCTGCCCTAGGGATGGCTGCCATCACCTCCTTGGTATGAGGGCATGGAGTGGGGGAGGGGGTCCTCAGCTCACTGATGGTGGCTTTGTTTGGGGGAGGGGAAGAGGGGTGTTGTGGCGAACTCTACATCTCTGTACTCTCCATTCGGTTAGGGCCAAATCCACGTGACTGTCACTGGTGTCCCCATGGGGGAGAAGAGGAAAGCTTTTGGGGAGGGGTCCCAGAGATGCTCTAACCTTCTCTCTCTCTACAGCCCCCCCAGGGGACCCCGCTGCCCCCATGCCTGCCAAAGAGGAAGCCCGCCCGCAGCCGGAGGGGGCCAGCTATGATGCAGCCGAGCGCAGCCCCCCCTCCAAGGGCTGCCCCCCACCACCGCCTCCATCATTGCTGCCCTCTGACCCCTTGGACACTCGCATTGTGATGGGCGAAGAGACGCACTGCCCCCCTGAGCTGCCCCCTAAAACACCCCCCCGGCATCCCGAGCTGCCCCCCGCCCGCCTCGACCCTGACCTCTTCTTCACAGCCCCCTCCACCCCGGTGAGGACGGGGGGACCCCGCTTGAAGCCTGAGGAGGATGGAGGGGATGCAGAGAGTGAGGGGCTGGGCTCTCCCCCCACTTCCCCATCTGGCTCCTACATGACAGCCGAAGGGGGCAGCTGGGGGTCCTCGGGCACGGCCAGCACGTCGCCCTCCTGCTCGCCCAACCTGCTGGCAGAGGTCCCTGATGGTGAGCCTGGTCCTGCAGCCTTCATCCGCCGCTCCTCGTCCTCCTCTTCCTCCTCGGAGGATGTGGCTGTGACCTCCATAGGGCAGGAGGAGGAGGATGAAGAAGAAGAAGATGATGATGATGAAGGCAGCGGGCAGGAGGAAGGCTTCAGGCTGCCCCACTCCCACATGGCTGCCCCTGGGCTCATCCCTGCTGCACTGCTGCCCTTCCGTGGCAGCCTGCTCTTCGAGGCTGAGGCTGTGGAGATCACCCTGGTGCCGGCCCAGGCAGCGGCCGAGCCGCTCTCGGGTGAGGATGAGGAGGATGAAGATGAAGAGGAGGACGCCAGCACCTCAGCCTCCTTCCTGCGCTCGCTCTCCGAAACCTCCATCAATGAAGGGGTGGACGAGTCCTTTGCCTTCCACGATGACACCTCGGCCTCCTCTGACTCGGCCTCCTACGACGGTGAGGAGGATGAGCGGCTCTATGGCACTGAGCGCCACGCGCTGGGGGGACCTCAAATGGCCGCCGCCACCCCTGGGGACACCGAGCCTTCCTCAGAGGCCTCTGGGGACATCGAGCTGCACCTGCGCGGTGACACGGCACAGCTGGATGGAACTGGGGTGTCTGCAGGGGGGTCCATGCAGCATGAGGTGGCCCTGAGCCCCTCGCTTCTGGAGCCGACTGACGGCAGCGAGGAGGACGTGGGCATGGAGCAGCGTGCCGCCCCAGAGGAGGAGGAGGTCGCCATGGCGGCCCTCGCCGTGGAAGCTGACGCAGAGCTGACGGGCCAGGCCCCTGTTGAGCCCACGAGCACAGAAGTCAATGTGGAACCATCGGATGAGGCGTCCGTCGAGGCCCTTGCTGCACAAGTCAGTGTAGAGCCGGGGGTTGAAGCCTCCATTGAGGCCCTCGGTGCAAAGCCGGTGGCTGAGGCCTCCGTGGAGCTGACGGACGAAGCCCCCATGGAGGCCCTCGATGTGGAAGGCGCCGCGGGTGAGACCTGCGCTGAGGCCCTCCCTGCAGAAGCTGATGTCGAACGGGTGGATGAAGCCCTCTGTGCAGAAGTCAGCGTGGGACGGATGGATGAGACCCTCAGCTCCTCCTCCTCGGAGATGGAGGAGGCTCCCAGCCTGGAGCCTGATACCATGCAGGAGCTGGACCCCATCCCAGAGGAATGTCCTGCACCGCAGCCCCCTGTCCCCACAGAGCCGGCACTGCTGGAGGAAGAGATCCTGCTGGAGGAGGAGGTGCCATCGGCTGCCGTGATGGAGGCCCAGCTGGAGGCTGAAGCCGGTACCCTGCAGCCCCCCTGTGCTGGGGAGACCAAAGACCCCCAACCCAATGGGCTGGGATGGGACACCCCATCCCTGCCCGCTGCCAATGGTGACCGTGAGCTTGATGCTGTCCCAGCAGAGAGCCCCGAGCCTCTGTGTCCACCTGAGCAAGGAGATGACAGTGGGGAACCCCAGGAGGATGTGAGTGGCCATGGGGATGGCAGGACAGATGTCGTGCCTGCACCACTGGGGACCCCCGCCTTCGGTGGGGACGTGCAGGGTGATGTCATTGAGCAGCCCCTTGAGGAGGACACGTCGCTCTGTGAGGACGGGGTGGCCTCAGGCAGCGAGTCCCCACGGGTGGCACTGAGTGATGGTGGCAGCGAGGTGACGCAGGGTGTGGAGGAGCCTCTCAGTCCTGCGCTGGGGGGTATGGATGAGCCACGTGCTGCCTCTGAGGATGAAGCCTCCAGCAAGGATGTGGAGCGAGGCCAGAGCCCAGAGCACATCCCTGGTGAGTGGGATGCCACAGCTGCCTCCGAGGACTCGTCCCCAGAACTGCTGGACACCTTGTGCTCCCACACCGACCCCAGCTTCTTCAACCCCCCCCAGGACAGTGCGGGGGAAGTGGCTGCCCCTGGGGTCCCCTCTCCGACCCCACAGCCCTGCCTGGCCCTCTGCGTGCTGCCCCCAGCCCCTGCACCCCCACCACTGCACTTCACTGCTTCAGAGCAAGAGGTGTACGTGGGGATCCCTCCAGACCCCCTTGAACTGCTCCCACCACCCGGTGCCTTGTTGGAGAGTGCGGAGGACCGCCGGCAAGTGGCCTCCATGCTGCAGGGGGTCTTTGGGGACCTGCCTGCCCCAGGGAGCCCCAGCCAAGCCCCTGTGGAGCTGCCATGTCCTCCCTGTGCTGAGGATGAAGCTGCTGCACCTGAACCCAAAGAGACCCCAGAGCACAGCGATGCAGGGAGCATCCAGTGTTCTCCCCCGGCCTCGCTGCAGCTAGACCCAGCCCCTATGCAGGGCCAGGAGCCCCCAAGCAAGGAGTCCCTGCTCCTACTCAGTGTAGACCCCAATGCCAAAGTCATGGTGGAGGGGGAGCATTCCCTGCCGCCCCCTGAGGAAGTGGAGGAGGGAGTGAAGGCAGGGTCCAGCCCCGTGAAGGAGGAGGAAGAGGTGGTAGTGGTGGCAGGATCCATCCCTCAGGAGGAGGAGGTGATAATGGTGGCAGGATCCATTCTGCAGGAGGAGGAAGAAGAGGTCGTGGTGACAGCGGCAGGATCCAGCCCCATGGAGGAGGAAGAGGAGGTGGTGATGGTGGCAGGATCCATCCCTCAGG